TTCTCACACTGAATCTTTGCTATTACATTCCCTACTTTTCTCTCAGATGTAAAATTCCAAGTTTGCATCTAATTCTAATATTTTATTCTATACTCTGTGTTGCTGTGATGTAATTTTATGTCTTTATATTAAAAGAGATTGAACTTAAGGAAGTAAATATTTTTCCAAAGAAGTCATACAAATGTGAACAGATACATGAAAAGATGCTCAACAGCACTAATTATCAGGAAAATTCAAATCAAACCCACAATGTCATATTGCCTAACAACAGTTAGAATGGCTATTATCAAAAACAGTATGTGAACTGAGAACTTCCAGATGTTCAAGCTGGATTTAGAAAAGGCAGAGGAACCAGAGATCAAATTGCCAACATCCAGTGGATCATCGAAAAAGCAAGAGAGTTCCAGAAAAATATCTACTTCCACTTTATCAACTACGCCAAAGCCTTTGACTGTGTGGATCACAAAAAACTGTGGAAAATTCTTCAAGAGAGGGGAATATCAGACCACCTGACCTGCCTCTTGAGAAATCTGTATGCAGGTCAAGAAGCAACAGTTAGAACTGGACATGGAACAACGGACTGGTTCCAAATTGGAAAGGAGTACGTCAAGGCTGTATATTGTCACCCTGCTTTTTTAACTTCTATGCAGAGTACATCATGTGAAATGCCAGGCTGGATGGAGCACAAGCTGGAATAAAGATTGCTGGAGAAATATCAATAACTTCAGATATGCAGATGACACCACCCTTATGACAGAAAGTGAAGAGAAACTAAAGATCCTCTTGATGAAAGAGAAAGAGGAGAGTGAAAAAGTTGGCTTAAAGCTCAACATTCAGAAAACTAAGATCATGGCATCCAGTCCCAGCACTTCATGGCAAATAGATGTGGAGACAATGAAAACAGTGACAGACTTTATTTCTTGGGCTCCTAAATCACTGAGGATGGTGACTGCAGCCATGAAATTAAAAGATGCTTACTCCTTGGAAGAAAAGCTATGACCAACATGGACAGCATATTAAAAAGCAGAGATATTACTTTGCCGACAAAAGTCGGTCTAATCAAAGCTATAGTTTTTCCAGTAGTTACGTTTGGATATGAGAGTTGGACTATAAAGAAAGCTGAGTACCAAAGAATTGATGCTTTTGAACTGTGGTTTTGGAGAAGACTCTTGAGAGTCACTTAGACTTCAAGGAGATCCAACCAGTCCATCCTAAAGGAAATCAGTCCTGAATATTCATTGGAAGGACTGATGCTGAAGGTGAAGCTCCAATACTTTGGCCACCTGATACGAAGAACTGACTCCTTGGAAAAGTCCCTAATGCTGGGGAAGACTGAAGGCAGGAGGAGAAGGGGACAACAGAGAATGAGATGGTTGGATGGTATCACTGACTCGATGGACATTAGTTTGAGCATGTTCCAGGAGTTGATGATGGACAGGGAAGCTTGGCATGCTGCAGTCGATGGGGTTGCAAAGAGTCGGACATTACTGGGTGACTGAACTGAACTGATTATTAAAAAGACAAATGACACGTGTTGGCAAGGATGTGGAGAAAAGGGGATCTTTGTGCATTCTTGGTGGGAATGTAAATTGGTCCAATCACTATGGAAAAGAGCATGGAGGTTCCCAAAAAATTAAAATATAGAATTACCATATGACCCAGCAACTCCATCTCTGGATATATACCCAAAGGAAATGAAAACAGGATCTCAAAGAGATATCTGCACTCCCATGTTCACTGCAGCATTAATCACAATAACCAAGATACAAAAACAGCCTAACTGTCAACAGATGAATGGATAAAGATGTATTGTATATAAAATCAATGGAATGTTATTCAGCCATGAAAAAAGAAAATCCTGCCATTTGCTATGACTTAGATGAAGTTTGAGGGCATTATCCTAAGTGAAATAGGTCAGACAGAGAAAGATGAATACTCTGCTACATCACTTGTATCTATAACTTAAAAAAAAAGAAAGCAAACTCACAGAGACGGTAGATTGATGGTCCCCAAGACCTGGGACGTAGGGTAAATGAGATGTTGTTCAAGGGTACACACTTTCAGTTATAAGATAAATAAGTTCTGGGTATCTCATGTCAAGCACAGTGACTATAGCGATTAACACTGAATTATATACTTGAAAGGGCTAAGTGAATAGATCTTAAATGTTCTCACCACCAAAAAAAAAAAAAGGTAGTTATGTGGCATGCTGGAGACATTAACACTACAGTGACAATCATTTTATAAAATACAAGTACATCAAATCAACATATTGTACACATTAAACTTACATAATGTTAGAAGTGGAGAAACATTTTTATGGTTTTGCAGTTTTCTGTCCTGGATTAAAGTTATCAACTTATTCATTCACCTACTTATTACTAAATGCTACTCAGTGAATACAGAAATCAATAATAGATTCCCTTTTCTCAAAGAAAGGCAGCCATGGACTTGAGTTCAAAGATCCTTAAAGACCATGCAAGTATGTGTATAAAATAATATCAAAACATTCTTCTGTACTGATATCTACTTTTTGAATCTTTTAAAATAAGTACATGCACAATTTTCTTAACTTAGTACCCTACTAATGGACACTTAATGGCTTATGACTTTTCACTAACAATGCACAAATTAACATTTTGTGAATAAATATGTGCATATTTTAAAAATTATTCCCATGGAATTTTTCCACTAAAGCAGAATTTAGGTGTCTAGGTAGGTGTACATTTTAAACACTTTTGCTATATTTTGGCAGTCTTCCTTAATAAAGGGCTATATCCTTGCCAAACTGGTTGTCATCACCTCTCTGTCCCGCCTTTGTCAATTGGACAGTAGGTTAACTGACACTTCATCTTGTGTGAGATAATATTACTTCATAGCACCAACCATCAGGCAAGTGCCCGAGTTTTCACATTACATTTGTTTTTGTAATAGCATGGCTGTCTGTCTACCTCTACCAGACTGCAAGCCGCCAAGGGCAGAAATAGGAATTTATTGTCATCTTTTTGTGTTGCTATTAGACATAGGAAGTCTATTTTAAATTACTTCATTTTTGTTTATTAATGTGAGAAATCATCAAACTGATTATTCTTTTATGGGTTTTTGGCTGAGCTTTAGTATAATTTATAAGCTTAGTAAATTAAGTTCCTTTAAGAAAACAATCACTACATCAAATTATTGTGGGTTTGGCCTTTTTGGCATGCAAAGATTTCTTAACAGAAGTTCAGGCCAGGTTGTGATTTGACCTGAAACTGCAGCCCTGACTGCCAGGCTCTTCAAGAGATCTTTCATTCTTTCTATATGATTCTTATCTCAAGGGACCATCATCCTTAGAACGATCGCATTTAGTGGTAATACCTCTACCTCAAATGTTAAAATGGCATCTGACTGAAGATGAGATAATCCCTCCTCGTATTGCCTGACTCGCAGACATAAGATTTAACATCTTTCTATTTTCATATTTGTACTCACCACAGTACCCTCAAGCCCAGACCAGTGCCTGGCTCATGAATGAATGAGGAGAATACTGACTCCAGAAGGCATAAAAACAAGTTTTTCATGAATCCAATCCAGGCACCTCCTCACAGTGCTTTCAAAAAGAGGAGTAAATCCCTTAAAGCTCAAATTTATGTAGTTATCTTGGAAAAAATTTTAATTGCCTAGAGTCCACACAGCGCCTTGTTATATTCTAACATAACAAGGAGTATAAAACCATGACTAAAATATGCACACTCCACTCCAGTCTCTATAAAAAAAAAAAAAAGGAATTGCTAGTTTATTCATCTTGCTTAATGACATAGAAGGGCAAAACAAGTACCCAAACAATGAATAATAACACAAGCGCTCAGACTGTAAAATCAATATGTCAGATCAGTAGAGCTGAGCTTCGTTTTAATGCTCTCATCCCTGAATGCAGTGGAGCTTACTTTCTGAATTATATATATATGTATTGACCTAATTACATAAATATTGACTTTTCCTTATATGAAGCTTTTTTTTTCAGTCTCACTGTAATTATGATGTCAATATTCGCGGCCCTAGTAACACTGAATTTAAACCTGTTAACTGTGACTGATAGTGGCACACCATGAGATAATCCAGACAGTCTCACAGTCTCAACACATGGGTGACACTAGATAATAACTTATAAACCAGGAATTTCTTAGGTGTATCATAGAAAGGTAAACTTCTTTAAGAAAATAATCTTAAAGGATTAAATAATTATTTCATCCCCAATAACTGGGGAGACGGCCTCCTCCCTTAGTTTGTTGGGTTTTACAACACATAGAAGTAATAACCAGGATGTGACTAGATTTTGGTCTATAATGTTGTACAACATTTTTTTTTCTTTAATCAAACACTTCATCCCTAACTTCAATCCCCAGTCCATCCTACTACTAAATTCTTTGTTCTACTGAGAGGTGTCTATACCCCTGTCCCCATAGCTCTGCGTGTGTGTAAAGGGTATCATTTAATATTTGTTCTTATTCTTTGATATATTTCAATAAGGATCTGTGCATAGTTTAGCCTAATACAAAGTATGACCTGTACAAATTATACTTTTTAAAAATGTCCAATTTAATTATCTCTCCTTACATGGCTTTATTTTCATAAGAAAAGATTTCACAACAGTCCCTACCATTGTTACATCTCTGGGCCACGCACTGATACTATACCTCAGGACATTTTAATTAAATTTCTTTACTTCGATAACATTAGAGAAATATTCCAAATGCTTTCAAAAAGCTAGAAAGTACTTTTTACTTTGTTCTCATAAAGTTTCTGAGCATTCCCACTCAAGGTCTTATACGTTCCAATTTAAGAAATGCAGAAATATGTGTCATATTCATCTTTTAGAGTTAGGTGAAACACACAGGGAATGCTACACAAAAAAATTAAAAACAATCATGTCCACAATTTGGGTAGAGAGTCGTTCTAGAAGGATCATGGTGAGGTGGTGTATCCATCATTCCGTGATTTTCTTATTTGCCTCTACAGGGATGCCAGAGGAGATGAACCTCAGTGACGTGAAGCAAATCCATCAAACAGACGGTGGTAGTACTTTAGACACAACTGGAGCAGGATGTACGGCCGCAACTGAAACTATGTCACTGACTCTGATGGGTGTAGTGATGTCATTTCCTGGGCTTTGGTAACAGCTCTTCTGCCCTGACACACATGTCTTAGTGGAGTCTTGATTTCTCCCTTCTCTTGCTCTGAGTGGAATAAGGTATCTTTTCAAACGTAACAATTATATTTATGAGAAGGAACTAACTTCTTGGAAGCCAAGTTGGCATGTTGACAAAGTACCTAAAAATCAACATTTACATGATAGACCATTTGAAAACATGTCTCTTTGAATCTAAAATATGAACCTAATTTAAATGTTCTTAAATGCTAACATGTTAAACCTGCAAATGTGAAGAGCACGGAAGTGACTTTGAATGAGATTGTAATTTTATTATTCTCAATTCCAACCTCTTCCTTTCTAAAAGAAAAAAATGTTTTCAATTGAAGGTGTATTTGCAGGATGATGAAAATAATACATAGCTTTTCTTAAGGTACTGGAATCAGAATTTCATTAACTGAATCAGAAACAAACAATGGCAAGTAGTATGCATGCATTTTCAAGATATTCTTCCATTTTTATAAGCTATAGAAAGAAATGACTGAAAGCCTATAAATTATAGAGTAGATTGCAAGGAGCATTTCACATAATTTCATTGAAGATGATTGATAATTTTTATCCACTGTAACTAAGTCACTGACAAACATAAAGCTGAGTATTTTGATAGCATCTGATTTGTATCCCATTATATACAAAATGCATCTTTGGTATTGTGACTCTGTTCCCTCCTATCTCTCTGCTTCCTAATGGATTTATCTATGTTGCAAAGCACATACCTGCTCTAGGAATATCTCTAATAAAGCTGTTAATTATTTGGTGGAAAATTTTAAAGAATATTGATCATTTTCATGACATATTCATCCATTTTCAAAACGTTATTTCAAAAACTTGCTGTTTTTTAAAACTTGGTATTGAACAATTGTCTATATATTTCCAAAGTTGCTATGGATATCTAAAGATGCACTAATATAGAAAATACGGCATGCACTGTTTTAGCTCTTTTCATATTTTCGCATTAGCAGAGCCACTAATCCATAGTCCCTGAGTTCCCAGTTGAGATAAGTTGCCTCAGCAGACACTGCTAATCACTGCACTTAAAGGAGAAAGAGATAAGTCAGCATTTATTAGGAAGTATCATATCCAGTCAATAGCCGGGAAGTATAATTAATACACAGTGACAGAGAGAAAACAGAAGTGCTGAACTTATAAATTTTTTTTTTTAAAATCAAAAAGATTTCAAATGACCTCTGAGAAAGAACCGATGGGAACTCAATCACCAACAAGCATTTGTGGGATGAAATCAATCTGTCCAAATAAGGAAACTATATGATCAAACCCTATTCTCCCTCAGGTTCTCAATTACAGATGAGAACCTGGTGATGGTCAACTTACACCACAGTATTTTTAAACTGCCAAGATAAGTCAGATTTTTCTTCTCTGTTCAAATATGACTCTGAGTTGGAAGTGCTATTCTACCTGCCAATTCTGGATGCCATTTTCCTAGGCTTCCACTCCACCTTAACATGATCTGCTTGGATTTGAGCACATTTGCACCACCATGCTCCAAATATTATAAACTTAACACTTTTTTAAATTTTAATTTCAACTTCAACTCTTTATTTAAACAGCTCTGAAATGTGTAACATGAGGTCAACCAATTGTGGCACTCCAGCCCAAGCCACAGTTGGGTTGCCACGGCAACACTTCTGACCCAAACCTGAAGGGTCTTCAAAAAAGCCAACTAAAGAACAAGGTTCAGCAGTCTAAGATGTACCTGGATAAGATTAGTTGATAAAAGATAATTTTAAATATTGTAGGAAATGGTTAAAAGCAGAGTAGTAACAAAATCGATAGTATGAATAAATATCTTTTTATCAATTAAATTTTACATACTAAAATGGGTGCTGTCTACCGCCATATAGACGTTTAGGAGACAATACACATACCATAAATGATAAAGCTAGAGCTCAAAACACTTGAGATTTTCAGAATTTATTTAAGAGCCTGAGGCATACTTTTTTAATATTCTCAGTGGGGTCATTCTTTAACACTCTGCTCTGAACCATCTTACATTTGTATAGCTCTTTATAATTTACAAGGCTCTTTCAGAGGAGACAAAGCATAACATTTGACTTTCCTCACTTCTAAAGGATGGGCTCAATTTTTTTTTTTTTTTTGGAAGGGGCTCAATTTTTAGTCAAATAAAGCAATAACACTGAGTTGTTTTCTTTTAATATGGCTCAGAATTTGCTTTATAAGAGTTTTCCATTAGTAAGGTTAAAAAGTTTTTAAGCAATGGTAAAGTTGTTAGAATACATGTCTACTTTTCGAGATGACTTAAAGGATAACATTCAGGTGACTATATATGTATTTTAAATTATCTTCCACAGTTATAGTCATATTTTATACTGGGATCAATTAAAGGAGTTTTCTTGAATTTCTGAGTTATTGTTGTATTAAATTAATCTGAAACAGTCTAGTATTCTGCATGTATTGAGGAAGAATCAGTTAATCTGAGGCAAAATTCAGGGCCCTTCCTTTGCATATACACCATGATAAATGCTCTTACACAAAATCTTTAGTCTCACCAATAATATTATCATCTCCATTTAACCAATGAGGAAACTGAGGCTAGAAATATTATGTACTTTGTTTGGTGTCATACAACTAGTCAGAGTAGAATAAAACATATAAGTAATGTCTCTAAACAAACCATATACGTTCTTGGTTCAAATATATAACAGTTTCAGAACAGTAGTACAAAATCTTAAAGTTAGCATAAAAGTCATTTAAAGGTGATTTGAGTCTCTAAACAAGGATTTAAAAAACAAGTAAAATTAACTGTGCAATCCTAATGTATAATTATAAAATTGTAGATTAGTATAAAAGCATAGGAAAAAAGAAAAATGTAAACATGAACCTATTCTTTTGTACTAATCATTACTCTCTCACATGTGAAAATTTCATTCAAATACATCAACTGCTAAAGTAAATCAGCTACCAAAAATGAGAAAACACACATATATATTTTCTATCACAGAATCATAACATTTCTTTTTGTTTTCTCAGCAACTTAAGGGTTTAAACATTTCTTTGGACATAAGACACAGGATGGCATAAAAATATGAGGAAAGAAAGATAAAGGAGGAGGGAGGGAGCATGTGGCAGAACATTATTTGTAAAAATCTTAGATATGTCGTTTATCCTCTTATTTGTCCAGGAACATCTTATCAATGAAGTAGTGTCTGGAGTGTTCTTTTCTAATTAAAGGAAGAAGTTAATATGCTATTTCCTCCCAATACTCAGCTCTTCTGAAGTACTCAATAATGATGCTTTGAAAAGGACTTAATTAGTTTACTACTAATTATTTTCAATCACTAAAAATATTGTTTCTACCATCAGAACCCTTCAAGTACAATCAAAATTGTTTCTTCCTGAGTGAATTCATTCAACCCAGACTTGTGATTTTTTGAGATAAATCATTGAGCAGTCTGTGATATCAGTATTTCTTTAGGTTGTAAACTTTGGTATCCTATGTAAAACATAGGTTGTATGAAAATTCAGCAATAATTCATGTTATTAGGTATGACACTGGGCATATTAAGTTTTTTTTAAATTATAGACTGTTGTGTATCAATCATTTCTGAAAAATATAGACAAAATTTTCTCAGGTTTGAAATCTTTCTTTGCCTTTGCTAGAATTAAATGATCACTGAATTACTCTTATATCATCATTTTGTAAATGGAGTTTCACTCAAATGAGTCCTTAAACTAACCTATTTCCATGCGCAGAAAAAAAACTGAAGAATTTCATTACAATATGATTCACATCTTCACAGTAGAATGGCAATAACTATTTGGAACAGAGTGCCGGGATGGAAGTTTGTGGATAACTTTGCAAACATCTGATTCAAGAGTCTCTCCCCTTTCTGCACTTGTCAACTGTCACATTGGAAGCATCTTCACTGTGAAATATTGGGTTGGTCAAAAAGCTTGTGGGAAATTTTCTATAGAATTTTAATAGAAAAACCTGAATTTTTTGGCCAGCCCAATATATATATAAGAGATTATGCATCTCACCTTCCCAAGAAAGTTTTCCTTTATCACAGAGCAAGAGGAAGGGGATAGAGGAATTTGAAGTGCCATAGAGTTAAAAGATCAGAGAACAGCTAAGGAGCAAATTGGTTGGAGACAGAAGGAATGGAATTGACCCAGAGGAATCACTAGGGTAATTCGGTAAGTAAATTCTACTTCTGTGAGTTTCAGTACCCACCTTTGAGCACCAGTGCCCTGAAGGAACTAATCGCCTTAGAAGGAGGGGACGTGCAGAGTCTCTCTTTTTGCCAGATTACCCAGCCAAGGCCAGCAGCAATAAGGAGGCAAACAAAAAGTCTAGTTTGCAAAGCAAATGCTATGAGCAGTACAGTGTGTTTAGCAAGCACCTGTCTTAGTCTATTTCTTTAAGAAATCTAGGCACTGACCAGTAAGTATTTTTAACAACAGTAATTTCTTCAGAATAACAAGACCCCCATAGGATAAACAAGGATTTCAACTTACAAAATCATGGTCAAAATTGTCAAAGGGACTTGCTGTATTTCTAAAGAGAGATGTCAACCCTTTCCACTGAATCACTCAATATCCCTGAACTCAGAAAACCTTTTGAAAAGTAAGCTGATTAGGTTAGGTTATTTTTTTTAAGGTTATTTGTAAGCTGATTAGGTTAGGTTATCTTTTTGAGGTTATTTGTAGGTTTTACAGGGTATGTTTAAATTTTCCTTTGTTACATAAACTTTTTAGTCTCATCTAGTCTCTCGGATATTTTTTCTCATCCCTGTCTTTTTCAAATTCAGCTTTAGTAATAATGTGAGCATCCTAAAGAGATCCCATATGCCAGATGCCCTTGTGTGACCATCTGATGGGGAGACTGGCTGAATCATTGACACACAGGCATCCAAAAATGCTGGAAAAACCAGAACAAGCTCAGCTTCAAAGGTTTTAGTCTAACTGTCTGTATCACCTTCAACAAGT